CCCCAAAACCCCAAAACCCCAAAACCCCTTTTTTTAAGGTGGTTGTTTAAATTAAAATTATTTGAATTAAAAAGTAATAAAAAGAGCTTAATTAATGAGAGGGCAAGATCTGAACTCATGTAAGAATTTACACAAAAATTTCCAAATTTAATGTGATTTTAGCAGGGAATATTTCTGAGGAAGAAACCTATAAGAAGGTGCCGAATGATTAATCAGATGTAAGAATGGATAGACCTTAATCTTTTAGAAATTTTTCTCAAATCCTCAAAAAAGTCACATCTAGCCAAATTAGTCGTCACCTCACCTCCAAAACATAAAATACACCACTAGTCCTTCGTCTATAAAGAGATAAAGTATGAAAAGCTTAAAAATCATTAATTGAATATTAGATCCAAATACTAAATCAGGAATGATCTCAAGTTACATCAGGAGTTCACCTTAAAGTGCAAATACAGCGAATAACCCGAACTAAAAAGGCTTTTTGCACTCAGCCTCAGTTTCAAGTTTGTCAAACATCTAGAACTTTTCCATAAACCCCACTTAAGTTAGGCAATCACCAATCAAGCAGTACTCTATTTACAATAAGTACCTCAACCAACAATAACCAATCGAAGAAATAAATAGCTATAGAAATGCAAATAATAATAGCTAATACAACGTGAATAATCATCAATAAATGGCTTAGAAACCAGTGCAATCACATGTTTTTAACAATAGCCGAAATGGTGGGGCTGATAAATAAGATGAACCTGATGTGGGTACTAGAAATTCAAATAATTTATTCAGCAAGCATAAGAAAGCCCCCAGTTTTTAACAAGCATATTAACAATTTGCTCAGAGATTGCTGAAGGAAAGTGCTGAGGGCCGCTCAAACTTCTAGACAAATGTTCTACTGCCAAGCAAGTCAATTTAAAAATTCTAATAGGTAAGTCCTTATAAAACACATATTATTACTGTGAGATCTTATTATATTTTAGGTTCCAAGAACATATCAAAATTCTCCTAGTAGGAACACAGACGACATTAAGTCAAATTCCGCCTATATTCATGAAAGATTGTATAAAGAACACCAACAAAAAAAGCAAGTAAAGGAAAAGATCTACAATCCAAATTTAAAGGAGGATTAGGAATTTTCACAATGCACCTTTCAGCCATTGCTTTCAAAAGACAGTGGTCACAATGCCACTAGCTATAGAAAGCCAGATGAATTCATTAAAGATTAGTTAAAATATGACGTAGAAAGAAAAGAGAGATTGGAGAGAAAGAAATAAGAAATTCTGTAGAAAGAGGAGGAAATTAAAAGACAAGTTGAGGTTAGATTGTAAAAGAGCAGGTCACCTTAGTTTAGGGTACCACTCATTGAGCAATATGAACGACAGAAAGAATTTTCAAAGCAAAACATCAGTTAAATGAAATCTCCAAGAGATGAATTCAGATAAAAGCACAACAACAGCGTTGAATATTCATTCAAGCCGAGTATTAATAAAAAAAGTGAGAGAATTATTAAAAGATCGGAGGACTGGACTGGAGCAATGGATCACTTATTCAAAGATGCAAGTAATAGAGTCTAAAAGGTAACATAGAACTAGCAAGATAAACAGAAGAAGATGGGAGGGTAAACTAAACCAATTGAAAAGTCCAATCAAATGATGCTTGCAGCATTTTAAAAGTAATTCAATGAAGTTTGCAGGAAAGTGATGAAAGGAGACCAAAGTGATTGCTTATTATATGAGGATTATCTTCAAGTCTTAGGGGCTCTGGGCTATACATTCTAACTTAAAGAAAATCAAAAATGGTAACTTCTAAATTTATGGGAACTACTAAGCGATAATAATCTGAAACTAAAGCATCAATCTTTGTTCAACGCTCTTTGCTACATAAATATGATTCAACTTAATGTAAACCAAGCCCCAGTAGAGTCAGATGATATTCAATATCTTAACGATATTGGTTTTGAAAAACGTAATGGGATCTTCTTCATAGACTCAGAAAATAAAAAGGCTCTTACTCAAATGTTTAATCATTTCTACTAACTCAATCATAACAGGCAGGCATTTATTAATTTAGATAAAAGAGAAAAGTCTTTGAAGAGGACTCAGGAGGTTCATTCATCACTTGGGAGTAAATTATTTAAGCCTGCCCTTGATAAGAAATCAATGTCAATAATAAGTAATAAGATAGGCAATAAATCGAATCAAGAGTACCTAAAAGAACTGTCATTAACAAGATAGACTCTTAAGACAAAAGTAGAAAAGATGAAGTAAGATTCAATAGACGAGGAAGTTAGCAAATGTACTTTTAAACCTAAAATCAACGAAAAAATTAGTAAAATTTTCATGAGTAAATTTCTTTTAGTCAAGGGTGAAAGGGAATACTCGCCTTAACCTTAATTTGTTGGTTATGAGTAGTTAGCTTAGCCAAGGATACGACAGAAGGATAGAGCAATAGTAGAGATAGAGTTTGAGCAATCAAAGGAAGACTGCACATTTGCTCCTAAATTGGTTTCGAAATAAAAGATGAATCATCAAAGATCAGTATCTAGTCTCTTACCAAACAATGTAATTTTACAAAAGTAATCATACATTTAATTAGGGCTTAAACTTCAGTGTAAAGGTTCCAAATAGAAAATAGATGAACTAGCATTAAATTTAACCAAAGCAAGTTAATCAGCAAAGAGGCGGAGTGCATTAATATCCTAGGAAAGCAGTTGCTACATAGGAATTGAATTTAATGGATGATTCAGATTAAGAGGAACAGAAATCATACATACTAGTACCTTTAATTTGTCTAGATGTCAAAATAGCCCCAGAAAAGACAGAATAGCTTCTGATTTTTGAAGGTGATGATTTTAATCTAATAACTGACAAGTTTTCATAAAAGCATGGCCTAAATCAGAGTAAAAAATAAAAGCTGCTTACAATAATAGAGAAGTAGGCCTAACAGCTTATTTAGAATAGAAGCTTACAATATTGAACCTTAAATAAGTCAAGTTTAGGCTATAATATCGGTGAATACAATAAATATGACAGTTATTTCAATAATATATAGTTTTCAATAAATTTTTGTAGATCTTAATAGTTATTTACGGGGTTTTGGGGTTTTGGGGTTTTGGGG